TTAAATTATAACAGACTAAAAATCACTTCCACAGAAACCAATTAACTGAGTGAAGAAAAGAATTACTGAATGGAGAAAATATTTGCCAACTCTATCCAATAGGAGGTTAATATCCAGAATATATAAGGAACTCCACTCCACAAAAGAAAAAATACAAACAATTCCATTTAAAAACAGGCAAAAAAAAAAAAACCTTAGTTGACGTTTCTCAAAATAAAATCTAAGCCCAACACTGGTGGTTCACGTCTGTAATCATAGCTACTTAGGAGGTTGAGATCTAAGGACAGTAGTGATGGAGTTAGCATGGACAGAAAAGTTCCTGAGAATCTTTTCTCCACTTAACCATCAAGGAACCGGAAGTGGAGCTGTGGCACAAAATTGTAGAACACTAGCCTTGAGCAAAAAAGTACAGGGACAGATCTAGGACCTGAGTTCCAGCCCCATACCCAACAACAACATCACAAATCTAAGAATGATCAACTAACATATGAAGGAAATGTTCAATGTCACTAATTAAGAAATCCCTATTGGGTGCTGGTGGCTCATGCCTGTAATCCTAGCTTCTAAGGAGGCTGAGATCTAAGGATCTTGGTTCATAGCCTGCCAAGCAGGAAACTGTAAGACTCTTATCTCCAATTAATCACCAGAAAACCAGAAGTGGCACTGTGGCTTAAAGTGGTAGAGCACTACCCTTGAGCAGAAAAGCTCAAGGACAGTGCCAAGGCTCTGCCTTCCAGCCCTAGGACAACACACACACACACACACACACACACACACACTCACATATTTTATGGTTATTGCGTGTATTTGGCAAATTAACTTTTTGTCCATCTGTAAGATGGGGTCTGGATCCTAGAACATGGTGAGGTTGTATTCAGTTTTTGCAGCATGACAATCAGTCCTGAAAAGTCTGATCACAGAGCCTTACACTTGGAAAGACGCAAAGATGACAGGCCATAATATGGATCTGATGAAGCACTTCATGGAAAGCACAATTTATAGGAGTCAGGCCCTTGGGGCTTAGCTGGAACAATCATCACCATCACCAATCATATGCAGTTTGCAAAGCATATTTCTGTCTCACTACCCCACAACTGGCTTTCGGAGTAGGGAAATCCCATGGACTTAATTTTATCCATGCCAATGCTGGGCTTAAAAGATGATGATCATTCCTGAGTCACTACAAAGTAAAGTGGAAAAGCCAGTAAGTGGAAGGTTTTACATGTATCCCCCTCTGGCCAAGCTACATGTTCAACAGAAGAGGCTAGCCGGCCTCTTTCACTCTGAGTTTATTTATATGATGGGATGTCACTGAGCTGCATGAGTTAAAGGGCAGACCATTGGCTGTTAGCATTGTTGGCTAAAGGTTGCTGCATGGAACAGGCAAGGAATACAGGCAGTAGCCAGAGCTCTTCTTAGTCCTTTTACACAGTGCGGAGTTGGCCAAATAGAGGGGAAAAGGATTCTTGTTTTATCCAAGTGAAGGAAGCGGCTGCACACCTAGTGTTTTCTATGGGCACATCGGTCCCTACTTACCTTTGCTCTCTTTTGAGCTTTATGAAGAAAGCTCAAAGTGAATATAAGAACTCATCTTCCTTGAAGGTCTTTAACTCTGATAACAGCTTTCACCAGGCCCTGTTGTCTTCCATGTCAGATATTTTCCCATCCCCAGAGCCTTCTCTTCTGCTATTTATGTCTCATTTCCATGCCTATTTTCTTATTATAAAATTGGGTGATTGTGTCTTCCATTTATTGAGCAGCTATTTTCTATCTGGCACTGTAGTAGACATCTTATAAGGTGTCCATTTCCTCAAATTTCCAGCAAATGTGACAAGATGTATTACTTCCTACCTAGTAGATAAAGAAATGAGAGACTAGCCAGGCTCCGGTGACTCATGCCTGTATTCCTAGCTACTCAGGAGGCTGAGATCTGAGGATCATGGTTTAAAGCTAGCCTGGGCAGGAAAGTCTGTGAGACTCTTATCTCCGATAAACCACTAGAAAACCGGAAGTGACACTGTGGCTCAAGTGGTAGAGTGCTCGCCTTGAGCTGAAGAGCTGAGGGATAGCTCCCAGGCCCAGAGTTCAAGCCCCACGACCGACCAAAAGAGAAAAAAAAAAAAGAAATGAGAGACTAGTGGCCAAGTCGCAGCTTGCAGGAGGGAGGGACAAAGTAACGACTCAAACAGAGATCTTCCTGGCTTCAGAGCATACCTGTGGGAATGTTTATGCGTTCCCTACTCAAAGAAGGAATGGACTGAACAATGCTCCTCTTTAAATGATGTATTTCAATAATTACAATCACACTCTCTTGTTTGGGTTTTCAGAGGTGGGTTGATAGTCTCATGGGGTATAATTCTAACTACCAAGGTAGTGACACACATCATATTCCTTACAAAGCAAAAGAGGATTTGGGCTTAACAGTGATTCCTCCCCCTGGTCAACTTGCAAAGGAAAACAGAATTCATGTGATCACTGAGGTCTAGAGATTAACTTTTATTTTAAACCTGTCAAGAATTCCTGGTAGTTATTCATTTTACTAAAATGATTACAATATGGCAAAATAAAGAAGAGAGATAATCCCATTTCTCTACCATATAAATGATGACTAGGAGTCTCAGCTGTTGACTCAATGTTGTTCAAGAGTTTTTGGAATGAAAGACTGAGGGGACTTTTATTCCCCAAAAGTATGAAAGCAGCAAAAGTAAATTAAATTAAAAAGTAATTGCAATTGCAGATATTGCCAGGGAGGTGCTAATTATGAAATCTTTTCAATGTTCTTAGAGACTAGACTCCGAGGTTTGGTATTTTAATGAAATCAGGAAGCTAGCCATCTGATACTGGCCTGGTATATGCTGTTTCTTTCTTTTTTTTTCTTTTCCTCCCCTTTTTGTGGTCCAAGACCTGCATGCATACTCAGTGTCTGTCACTTTTGCTCACTGGCTGACTCTCTATCACCTGAGAGACACCTTTGATCCTGTATCTATAGTTTAGAACACAAAACAAGTCTGACTTTAAAAAAAAAAAAGAGATGGCAAAAAAGTGAATCATAACTAATTCAGATAAAATACCACCAGCACTCACTCATCTATCTGAAATATGTTAAAACAAAAAACACTTTTATTAAAACATTCAATACCAGAATAACTTATAATAGTATGAGGAAGAATGAAGTATTTTTGTCTTTAGTTTTCATTGACATGCTCACATTTTGGCAAAATTGTCTTGTAACAACTCCAATGTCTTCATCATGCATTTCTAACTACGGAAAGACATAAACCAAAAGAGCTCAGTACATCATCTGCTCATACAGTCATAACTTACATACTTTGCTTTGAACTTACTGTTATTGCAAACTGCAATTCAAAAAACAAAAGTAAAAAATTATCTATACAAAATATTTTTTATATCAAATTATCTTCATTACACTAAATAAACCCAGTCCCCCAAATGCTATGTTACAGGAAAAAGTGTCCTACAGTTTAGATCAAGACTGTTGCTGTTTGTAGCACAGACAGAGCAGCCTTTGGTTTTAAAAGCATTTTTGCAAAATAAAGAAAAATGTCACCATATGGCTGCACTATTGGCTCTTGTTCATACACATACACACAAATGCTTTCCAGTTTTAAAAAAACCCTACAAAATAGATTACTACCCAGAAAAAAAATCCCATAATATCGTCCAATCCATGTCTCAGCTGCATACACACTCTGGCGTATTTGGCATCCCCACTGTTTATTTAAGTTTAAAGTCTTCCCAAGTTGATTAGAATATTATTGTTAGACTGAAAAAGATACTCTTCTTTCTTGATATTGATTATTCTCACTCAATGGTAGTTTAATTTAGAAACAAAATATTCTTTCTTTGAATGCATGATTTCATTTAATTTTTACTTAAATATCCTTTACTTGGCAAAATTCAGAGAGGGTTCAATGTTTTGTTTTCCATATGTTTCAAATTTTTAAAAAAGTCAATTTTATGTATGTAGATGGATTATCCTAGAGGGATCCATTTCCTACGTTGTCTTGTTCTCATTGCAATACAAATTGTCTATCAGCAATTGTAATTTGAAATGAACCAAATAAAAACCATTTTAGTCATTTCATATGAGAAAAGTTTCCATCACAGAAAAACACTGAACTCTTAATGCAAACAGGATTATGCTCTCAAGCCAAACTGTAGGTTTAGTTTTACACAGGAACATTTTCAGCCATTTATACAGTAAACTTAAAAAAAAAACTTCAGAGAAAGAAAATCTAAATTAGTTCTAGAGAGCCTGGTGCTGCCTTCAAGCCATGTTTCACCAGTTTTTTTTTTCCTGATACAATATGCGCACTGCAATTTTAAAGTAGTTTTGAAGGAATCTTAAATGTATACACTGTATGGATCACTGCACCTTTCACTTGGGTTTGCAACGTCAGATACACAGACAAAAATACATGCACAAAATTTCCACCCTGGCTCCGAACAGCACAATGAACAACTTTCAATCCTGTAGTCGTCCTTTTCAAAGAACATTTCATATGGGCTGACCAGATTTCCAAGTTGTAGCATGTGAATGAGTGAATACATTTCAATGGCTTCGAGCAATTCTCAGTTCAGTCCGGCAACGCTTAGTCCTGTCTGCAGCGGTGCCCACAGACTGATAAACACAGGGAACTGACATTTTGAGGCACAGCTGTGTGCACTGTGCCCACGTTAAAGCATATGTTTGTCTGATTGTTTGTTTTCCCCTCAGAAAGCAAGGCACTTACTGTAATGGCAATGCAGACGTGTTTTTATGCATAGTTTGAGTAACATAAAATAAGTTAATATTTTTGATTAAAATAAGTTCTTTTTTATAATTTATGTCTTTTTGGAGAAGCAACTACGTGATATATATTTAGGATAATTAAAAATAAGAGGTTTGAAAGGGAGTTGATTTCACTCCTGCTTCGGCTCTTAGGATGAGGACGTTATGCAAAACACACAGACACGGAACACAATGGTTGGATGGATGTTTAAAACTGCTGTGTGAGTGGCACTTTGACCGTCTTAACTTCAGCTATGTGCGAAGACTTCTGGATGATGCAGCTCGCTGTTCCCTGCAGTTTGTCTTTTCCTTGTGCAAGATTTGTTAAGGCCATGGCGGCGTTGATCTCCCTCCAGTATGTGTCATCTTTGCTCGGTCCCTTTCTGTGAGCTGCACTGGATTTAAGCAAAACAGACAGAAAACGATCAAACTCACTACAGTTTGCACTCAAGAGGACATCCTTACAATGCATGAATGGTAAACAAAAATGGTTTTGCTCACCTGTCACCCTTACTGGGTCCATTTTCCAGAGTGTCTGTGAAGAGAAGCAAATAATCAATTACTACTCTCTCTCTCTCTCTCTGTCTGTCTTAGCCAGTACCAGGTCATGAACTCAGAATTGCATATTCACCTGGCTTTCTTGCTCATAGATGGTATTCTACCACCTGAACCATGCCTCCAGCCCTTGTTTTCAAAAAAGAACAAGTAGCTTATTAAGCTTATTTCTGCATCCTGAATTAAGACTCAAAAAGAGAGAGAGAATTAAGATGAAGGGCTGGGAAGGTGGCTCAGTGGTAGAGTGCTTGCCTTGCATGCATGAGGCCCTGGGTTCGATTCCTCAGCACCACATAAGGAAAAAGAAAAAAGCCAGAAGTGGCGCTTTGGCTCACGTGGTAGAGTGCTAGCATTGAGCTGAAGAGCTGAGGGACAGCACCCACGACCAGACCCCCACAAAAAAGAATTAAGATGAAAACAGATAATAAATAAAAGCTACTCATGAAGCTGAGATCTGAAGAGTGCAGTTCATCAAAGCAAAAAATTCCAGGACATTCTTATCTCCAATTAGCTACCCTGAAACAAGAAGCAGAGCTGTGGCTCAAGTGGTAGAGTGTTGTTGGCCTTGAGTAAAAAAGCTCAGTGACAGAGCTCAGACCTTGAGTTCAAGCCCCAGTACTAGCATGTGCACCCCCCCCCAGCCCCACCACGGGTAGCTTTGGGTGATACGCAGCAGTGGAGCCTCTTCATAGGAAGTCAGTATCTAGAGAGAAGATGCTGACTGTGCTTAATCTTGTCCTGCTGTTCTTCTGCTGTGTAACTTTGAACAGATTACAATGTATCATTAGGTCTGGAATTTGAGTCCTTCAGGTAGAATTTTCCATGAAGCTTCTGAGGATATCTACAGCTCAACATTCTGTGATTTCAGAAAGCAGGACTGGCAAATGATTAGTTGTTAGTTGCCTCTGATTAATTAGCAGATGAGTAAACTCACAGTAACTCAGAAATCAGGAGCATCAGAATAAGCAAGTACCAGTCCTGAATCTCCAAAAGTGTTTGAACACTCCTGGCGCTGCTGTGGTAGGAAGCTGGGGAGGATGCTGGCTTGGTAACATTTGCTCTCTTACTCAGAGCATGAACACCTCCCAAACGCACAAAGAAAGAGAGAGGGGGGAAAGACAGAAGGAAGGAAGGAAGGAAGGAAGAAAGGAAGGAAAGAAGGAAGGAAGGAAGGAAGGAAGGAAGGAAGGAAAAAAAGAGTGAACAAGGTGAAAATGGCTTCTTAACTTTGAATGGAATATGGTCTGAGGAACACCAAAATTGACACTGGAAGGAGGGCTGCATACGGGGTGAAGAAGGATAGCAAGGCTGAAAGGCAGAAGAATATGGCAGGGACTTTCAGCTCAAGAGACTGAATCTTCCTAGTGTTTAAGCCACTATGGTCACAATTGTCCATAACAGCAAGCATCTGGGAGCTATAGAATGAAACATTGTGGTGCATAGGGAGACCATGTAGAACATAGTATCGACTCTAAGCTCTTCTTATTTTTCAGCTTTTTCACATGGTCTTGGTCTCTGTCTTCCCATTTTTCTTTCCCCCAACTCAATATTTACAATGCTTCTTCATTTTCTCTGCAACGCTAGGCAATGCATCTTCATTTCCTAAGTTTGAGCTCTAAGTCAATCTAGAACTGGAAGAGACATGACAAAAGAATCATTACTTATCAATATTCCTGGACTATAATATAATTGTTCTATAACAGTCTGTTACTGGATTTGGCTCACTTTCAGAACAGAAGATCTTGGATGAAGAATTCAAGGCTGGACAGAGAGATAATGAAAGCAGGAGCAGATTTATTAATACAAAGCAAGAAAAGATAAACATGTATTCCCTAGACAGAGGTATGGGCAGACCTGCCCGGGAGGTGCCAAGCCCTCAGGTTTATAGAGGGCTGTGGACATGAGATGGTCAGTCTTAGGAAACTGGGTTAGTGTGTCATTAACTTCTGGAGCTCATGGCCTTGGATGGTCAGAGTGAGGTTTTTCATTTTTTTGTGGACTGCAGGGGACTGGGGTCAACAAGATTCTTCTGAGTCACCCTTTTAACTCAGTGTGTCAGGATGTGATTTTGAAAAATAATATCCAAGTCATGTTCTTTCTCAGCCATGTTTCTGCCTGACTCTTATTTCACAATTTAGAGCAGGATTTCTCAGGGCAGAGATGGACAAGAGAAACAACACCTACTGATTTCTTTAGCTGCCATTTCCTGCATGGGGAGCAGGAAATATTTTTCTGTCTCTGTCTCTTTCTTTCTCTTCTCTTTCTCTCCTTCCCTCTGTGTGTGTGTGTGTGTGTGTGTGTGTGTGTGTGTGTGTGTATGTGTGTGTCTCCTCCTCCTCTCATTTATCTTGACATTTGAGCCATCTAGCTGGAGCCTGCTGTTTCCCTTAATAGTGCACTTTCTCTCTGTCTCTATTAAACTCTTCACCTCTTAAAAAAAAAAAAAAAGAAGAACAGAACAGAACTCTATAACCTCGAGGGCCAGGTAGCTAAGGTAGCTAAGTCTCCATGCCATTTGTGAAAACAAAAATAGAGAACATCTACTAATATATCCTGAGGTAAGCCAGATGACAAAGGTTCACTGTGAGTGCAACGTACTTAGTAAACAAATGACAAGGTTGTTATGACGAATAGCAAGGTGAGTTCCTTCAGTGTTCATTCATTGATGAGAGGCAGTTTTGTTTGAGGTTTCGGGGATCCTGAGGATGAGGGGGACATAGGCTCTATGAACATTAGGATAGTCTCTGTCTGGAGCCTTGTCAACTGTTGAATCTTTGGGTCCCATGAGGTTGGCTCACATGGTCAACTGGGCCTCTGTTGCTTTTGATAATATGGGGTTATAAACCTACTCAGGTACAGGGGAGAAAGTAATACTGAGTTTTAGTTTATATTATCTTGACCATCCTGTGTGCCAGGCTCTATTCAAAGGCTCTATTTGTGTTGTAACTTAATGAGAGCTAGTGACTTGGCCCGTGTGAGCACGTTTCTGGAACCCACACTCCATTCCCTGTTTACTCCTAGAACTGATACATCTTTACTCAGTAATCACCAGCACAGCGAACAAATCAAAGTCCTTGTCTAGGGGAGGGGTTGTTGGAGACTTTTCAGGAAGAGAGGGAGAGAGAGACAGAAACAGAGTCAGAGAGACAGAGACAGACAGAGAGACAAAGAGAGAGACACAGAAAGAGAGAGAGAGAGAGAATATTTCAGCCTTTCCCCAATTCTGTCCACAAATTGCAATAACCCTACTGCCAAAGTGAAACAATAGGTTATGGAGATATTTATTCAAAAGAAAGATTTGGCAAAAGCAGAAGTTCCATGAAGCTCCGGTAACATTAGGGAAATAACAAGACATCATTTAGTAAAGTCATGTAAATGTTTCACAAGCAAAGCTGGCTCCCATATACCAAGATCCCAGAATCCAACTTCCTACCTGAATCAGGAGCTCAAGGAGAGTTAACTCCAAAGGTAGCCGGTGGCTATCAAATATGTAATGGGACGCGGAATCTGGAAATGGTATCACTGCATGGAGCATGCATCGGAAGGTGTCCTGTGCAGGCCCAGGGAGCACTTCTTGTTTCAGAGGAGGCCAGAACTTGTGTGTTCTGCAGTCTCATATGTGCTGGCACTCTCTGGGGCCAACACCTTGAACTTGTGCCACCAAGAAACAAGTTTGCTGCAGCCAACTGCGAAATTATAACATTCTGCTTATTCTTGGGGGTATATGTGTTTTACCCTTTGGTGCCTATGAAAATAACTTTGAAGTGTAAAAACCCAAGCTCTAATCCCCATTTTGGTCATCTTTACAAATGTCCCGGGCGGTATTTAGAAGACGGAAATTTTGGTTTTATATGAAGGTAGATGGGCACACTTGGTGTCACAGGTATGGATTAGGGTCCGAAGACAGAGAGAAAGCCTTCATAAAGATTGCCAAAGAATAGAAGCATCTTGGATCTCTACTCCTAGTCAGTGTTAAAACCACATCACAAATGTCAATTTTCAGTATTTTAAACCAATCTGGAGTTTCTCCGTGTCCAAGGTGGTTGGAGTTCAGAAGTAAATTAGAAAGTATTATTATGGCCAAGTGCTAATAGCTTATGCCTATAATCTTAGTTCAAGAGGTGGCTCAGAATTAGTCCAGGCATAAAAGTCTATGAGATTCTTATCTCTAGTAAAGCAGTTGCTAAAAGCCAGAGTCAAGGTGTGGCCTAAGTGGTTTTGACCTTGAGAGGAAAAGCCAAGTCAGAGCACAAGGCCCTGAGTTCAAGCCCTCATATCGGTGCGTGCATGCACACACAAGAAGAGCCCAGTTTCTCTGTTGCTATTACTGGTGGGCTGCCCCATGTCTCTAAGGGTATCAGGCATCTCAAAGCTGCCTTCTACAGAGTACTGAGTTCTGCTTCCCAGATGAATTGGCAAGTAGCTAATAGATACACAAGACCTGGTAGTTTGGGGGACGTATTTTTAAATTCATTACACTGAGATATATTCTGGGATGCATCCTAGCTATTTTAGACAACTGATATCATTTGAGGGCAATTGAGAAAACTTACAATCCATTCATTATGTTAAGGAGTAGTTCTAAATATTATAATATTTTTTTCTCATGTTCTTTCTCTTTGAAGTAAAAAACTGACTGATTCTTTTTCTAGTTCGGCCATCTTGTGTCTTTGCAGCCTTGAGTCATTATTGAAAGAGTAGTGAGGCTATTGTCCCTGTTATCCGGGCCCAGGCCACTTCTGCCCACTGAAAATGGGGTGGTCTCACCAGCTCCCATCCAGGAATGGCACCAGGGGCTCCAGAAACAGGGGAAAGAAAAAGATTCAGAATGCTGCTGAAATACAGCCAGCCTCCGTGAGTCTGTGCTAGTTCTGGTTTGTAGACCATCAGGTTGAAGTTCATTAGCACCCAGTGACTTAGGGTCTGACCCGCACACACTTGCTCATTTGTATCTCTTGCCCTACAAGTAGCTTGGCACAA